ATGAAGCAAATTATTCAGACTCGTCTAAATGCACTCTATCATGCTATACACATAAACAGAAAGATGAAAGAATGAAAGAAAGAGAAATGTTGATAAACAGTTCATCAAAGGAAAATTTAAGCCGTGGGTAAACTCATCTCCACTCTGTCCAAGCATGGAATTCCAATATTTTGGTTGTCACAGTGCTTGCAAACATGTTCTAAAGATATCTCAGAGAGAGAGAGGAAGAGAGAGAGAGAGCATGTTCAGTAAGAGAAAAGATTTTTTTATTCACAAATACTCCACTTATGTTGCGATAAGGTACATTGATAAATATCTCTGTTACAGAGATCTACTAACTACTGCACTAATCATTTTAAGCCTGGAGACAGCAATTTTTAGAGGGGGGTTCTTTTCCTGAAAAAGTGAACCTTTCACCCCCTTAGTTAACCCAATTTTGAGAATAGAATAGAAGATAGATGAAGTTTTGATTCAGAGTGCACCTTTTTGGAGGACAGTTCTATTGAACCTCCACTCCAGAACCCCCTGCCTATATAACCTGACTGGAAACAACATCTCCCCCAGTACAGTGTCTGGTCCTGGAATGTCACCAGAAATCTTCCATCTCATATGACCATGATAGCCAGGTAGCAGACAGACTGATAGTACAGCAGTAGTAAAGCTGTCATCCACCCTGACTGTCAGAGGTCACTAGGACTCCATCTGTTATAATGAGTAGTCTTAAGGCCGTATCCAGTGCCCCCTGGAACGCGGGGTACTGTCAGCTGCACTGGAAGGCCCATTCAGATGTAGACAAGTGTGGCTAATTAGCCAGTCCCATAGAGAGGTCCTGAGACGGTGGCTTGATTTCCTCCCTTGACCACTGTCCACTTGAGTATGGATGGGTCACACTGGTCTAGGTGGCTGATAAAAACTTGAATCCTTGATTTTTTAGATAGTGAAAAAATTGGGAAAGTGGTGCTTTCAAATAGCATAAAGATTGAGTTAATAGATCAAAAATATGTATGGCATCCTGAAAAGTTTTAAAGTTTTAGGAAACTACATTTTAAAGTCAGCTACTAATATTTCCATTTGTGATATGATAAAAACTTTAATATGGATTTCTTTTGGATCTATAGTGTAAGATTGTGATATTCTTCATTTCAGGTTATTTTACATGAAAGTTATCAAGTTTGGAGGCTGTGCTTACTGTACTTTGGAAATCAACACCACTGCTGATATTTTGATTTATTACATAGATTCGTCAACCCATCATCTATTTTGTCAAAATGATGCTGCAATTTGAATGAGTTAAGGCATGTAGAAGATAAAAGTTAGAAAAGGAACGCTGACCCAAGCCGCCCTGTGTGTCGTCTTTAAGTCACCTGTACAAACTTAAAGCAGTCATGGTAAAATTGATGAATAATAATGATATAGAACTTTGCTTAACCCAGCGTTATGCCTTTCAGCTGTAAAATTCCTGTCTGATGGCTGTCAGGGTGAATCCATCTTATTGAAGCTTTGGACAATATGGCAGACGTCAGGGGGTGAAATGGATGTAATGGCAGTGACCACAATCTTGTTAACTTTGAGTGTGAAGTAATATTTAATGTTGGAGAGATATTGAAATTTATGATATATTATTAGGAAGTTAGCATAGTGTTTTACTCTTGAGTTTTCTGCTTAAATATAAGTTGGTTTGCAGAAAAAAGAGCTTATTAGAAAATAAATATTGTAATTTTTTTAATGAATTAGAGTGGAACATTGTCTTAGGATGAAAGATGATAAAAGTGTCAATCTTTGACTCCGCAATATCAGGCAATATCTGGCAAACATAGACTTGTTCATTTAAAAGAGAGACAGTTTTTTGCTAAAAGTCACAGTTTTCACGCATTTCACTCCTGTATTATTTCTTTAAAAGAAATAAATTTTTTTGGTGAAGTCTGTATAAGATCCTAATGAACCCTCAAGTAGGAACCCTGACAAAGTGTATGGAGGATTCTACCAGTTAGGCAGTCTTGGTGTGTGTGAATGAGTCATAGTGAGTTGATAGGGATAAGGTAAACCACAGGTGACAGGTTTAGTTACAAAATGATTATCTTTGTTGGATTGGTGATATGTGGTCCACTTTGTAAATATATTAATAATAGAAGTGACGTTACTGTGTGACAGAGGATTCAACATTTTGGCTTGAGGGTTTTCATTATCTTTCTCAGGTGCAATGATGTCATATACAAAATAATAAAGAGATTGAAGGAATTAAGATGTAGGATCTGCCCTGAATAGTGCCTAAGGGAAATAATGAATTTAAAAACTATGTGTATGCATGACACGTCCATGTGAGATAAAAAGTGGGATAGTGCCTGGTTATGATAATAAGATGATAAATATGTGCTCATTATTCATTTGGGTACAGAATGTTTTGTAAATGATATTCTCTTTTGAAAGTCAAAAGCAATTTGGCTGGAAGGGATTTGTGCTAATATTCATTGTTGTGTTTATGGACTTAGAGCTGAAATAGGTGATGAGTATGTAGACATGACTGTATACCAACTACCAATAATGCATACGTACTTCAATAAATATGGCAAAAACACTTAAATGTTGTTCTCCTTAATATTACAGCACTGGTAAACATTTAGAACATCTTAATATTACAGNCTATTGTGAGAAAGCAGAAAGTTTCCATTGGATCCGTACCTTACCAACAAAGCTACAATGTTTCCTTGGAAAGTCCGCCTTCTTGGACACAGCAAGACATTTATATGTGGGATTCGAATTCCAAGATATTCAATGTGATTATTTTGCTCGAAATAATTTCTAAAATTTGCATTTGATTACTATATGAGGGGGGGGGGGGGGGCAGTCACGGCGGAGTCAGTAACATGCTTGGATGCAAAATAATACCAAACCATCAGCAAATCATTGTAATGACAAGACATGGGTTCAAATCTCAGAAGACGCATGTCACCACATCAACGAGCTGACCCTGCAATCGAAAACCAATGCAGGCTGTCGTGTATCCGGGCTAATTACCTTTTGCATAAAAATCCGGTATACTTTAGAGTGAGTGATCTATTTTGACAAGCTATCTGCTCGTTGGGATTATCAGCAAGAAAAGTTTTTTTCAAAAGTGACATTGCCGCTATTGCTTTACTTATGCTTTACCTACGGCACTTTTTGCCCTTTAAAACACCCCAAGGGGGCCGAGGGTCGGCTTCTTTTTCGAGTCATTCCTAAAAAGATTGGACCCCATTCAAATAATTCTGGATCCGCCCCTGGAGAGACTGTCAATTTAAAGGATTCTGGCCACGTAAAAATCCATTTCTCGAATTTTGATGATTAAGCACTCAATCTATACACTAGACGTTTTAATCAATCCCCACCATTTAAAAAGTATAAAACAATCTATTAGTAGAAAAAGAGCGTTTTAGTAAACGTCACCTCAATATGCAAAAATGAAGCAACAGACCTGGATCACATGTTACTGTGACGACATAGACGATAAAGGTCTTTGAGACTCAGCTGAGCTGCATGCTAAGTACAGACAGAGAAGTTTAGGAAAGTTGTGCTGAACGGGGTCGTGCAATTTCCGTTATGCCTCAGTGTGTTGCCGTGGGGTTCACCAAAAAAGCAGCAAAGGGTCTGACATTTGCTGACAATCTTCTTTCTTTGTTGCACACCTTCTTTAACGCACAGCTTCCCAGCCAGTAAGCCATTGCCGGGCTGAAAAGGCGAGTATCTGTCCAAGGGTACGGCAACGCGTTGCCGACGAGATCATGCAAGACCGTTCTTGCCGATTGCTCAGGACTTCTGCACATTTCTGTCGTACTGTAATAAGCGTAGAAGATAATGTGATTGACAGGTTCAATCAAAAGTTTCTTGGTTTTCAATTTTTCATTGTATTTATTCTAAAGTCAGGGCGTTTAAAACACCACTTCTTGTCCAATCAATTTTTAAAAAACATCTCTGCGATCGGCCCTCTTATGATTTTCAATAGAATTTTTCTTATTTCAATCATTTTGCAATATAACCATTATAATGACAAAGTTTCTGATCTGCTGTGGCACCTAAAAATTGAGAATTTGGTGGGTATTTTTTCATTTCTCTTTATTTTAGTTAAGAAATATTTATCTTAAAATGCTGTAAAAAATTTCACAAACCAAATCGAATTTTCCTCGAATTTTCCCCGAGAAAAAAATTTTTACACTTTTACACACGCATCATTGATCGACCGGTCCCTTCGCAGAGATTCGGTTTTCAATAAAAAATTCTCTGTAAATATCTGGTCGGATGTTTACACCGCCATATCTTCCTGTGCAATTCAGGAGAAAAAAATCCGCATTTTGCTTTTTGTTTCAAAGATTTTATCGTTTTATGGCCTGAATTGAGAAAGGTAAGTAGCTTTGCAGGTTATGTAGACAAAGAAAATATAACTGGGATATTTTCAAAGGTGTGTAATTTGACTTTGAGCCTGTAAGCAGCGAGCCTGCAACTTAGGCATAAATTTTCTGATTTTGGACACAAAGATTTTCTGAAAACTATCCTTTCATCTTTAAAAATATAAATAAACATTAAAAAATTTTTTTCTTACTAATTTTGTATTTTTTATTTCAAGACCGAAGTTTTTTTTTTTTATTTTGCCGACCTCAGGTTCAGTTGATACTGTGATACCGGTAAATGATTTTGTGATTCTGTTATAATGTCATAATGGCTAAATGGGAAGACGTGGAAGTAAGGAATCACCTCCCACAAGCCATCAACTAAAAGAGTCAGTTTTGAAATAGACCTACAAATTTGTTGAAAAAGACAGACTGTTTCATTAGAGCTGTTGTGGTGATATAATGTTTGCATACGTGATTTTTCTTGTAAAGATGTCTGATGGAGAAAAGAAAAGTTCAAATGCGTTAGTTGTGACATGCAAGCAATGCGACGAACGCCCAACAAATGGGATGTATTTCAGAATGCTAATTGCATAATTAAGAATAGTGTCACTGAGCATGCGCAGAGTCCCAATTTTCCTCGCCTTGCGTGACACACTTTCGGCATCGGGCAAACCATGAGTGAAACTTGGAAGTTGATCACAGACAAAAAACTTCGCCAAAAGTTGTGCCGGATTTACAAACAAGCTTCAGAACAAGTTTATGTCGATATATAGCGTTTTTAAAGCACACGAGCATGACAGAAGGGAGCAGACGACTGGAAGTACGGGCTTTGGAGGTAGTTTTGAAAGGGGGTAGTCCGTGGGGATTTTCTTTAAAGGGAGGTGCGGAAATCCGTTCAGCTTTAACAGTGTCTAAGGTGAGTTAGAACATGGTTATAATCTTATTTGTATGGATTTGATGTTATGTTTATTGTCAGATTTATCGTAGCGCTTGGCTGAGATCTGGATCACAGTGTAAAAGTCATTCAAACCAACTTTTATTCAGGCCTGAGAAAAAGTTCACAAGCGGCATTTCAACCGGACTTCGTCACGTTTTCTGCAATTTCAGTAAAACTGTGCAATGAGTCTTGCCATGGAACGCGCATTTTGTTGACATCATACGGTTGTATTTTGGTCTGTTTTAGACAGATAACAATATTTGCATCATAACCTGGTGGTTGAGATTCTCGAAATAGGTTTATCTACAGATAAATGTTTGTTTTGATTGAATAGATGAATGAATGGAATAATAGTAAATTTATAAATATAGTAAGCGCAGATAATGTAGGTTTTCATACATGATTTAGGAAGAGTGAGCTGTAATTTTGTTTTATCAGAAACATGATCTTTGTCATGTAGAATGACGAAACTGATGAAACTAAAATATTAAAAATAAAAATGATAAACCAATTTAAATAAATTTATATTTAAATAAAAAACAATTTAAAGATACGTAAAAGTTATATTAAAGAGAGAGATCCCACAAACATAAAGGCTAGTATTACCCCCAGTATATTAGCCCCATTAAGAGAGCCTGGACCCAGCTGAGCCCTAGATTTCCATACAGTGTTTGTATCCAGTGTTGAATTCACTGTGCCTCAGCTCCACCCAGTGTGATATACCTACATGTATACTGCCCTGGCTAATCCTTGCCTCTCTCATAACACTGGCTAAGCCAGGTGAGAGGTTTATGGAGTAAACTTGGTCAGGACGGGAAGGAGATTGCGCTGGTGTAACCCAGGGACACACCCCATGAGTTGTTTTATCTTCCCTTGACATGTTTGCGATGTGATCAAAGACAATACAGACACCGAAACATTTTTTATCAAATTAAAACTGGTTAAAAATACTATTCGTAGGCCCCATTCAAAATAGGGTACTAACTAGTCCAAGGGTCAAATATGGCAACCCAATACAAAGCTTGCCGTCTTATCCGCTAATACACACTGAATAGATATCCCGTTGGGAAGTATTCAAGTGGGTCGGCCATATTTGATCCTGGGACTAGTCAGTCCCCTATCTGAATGGGGCCATAGTAGTATATATTTCCATATATATGATTAAAATGTTCCCCCTCAGTTGACATATCAAAAAAAAAAAAAAAAAAAAAAAAAAAAATCTACAAATATCTGAAGCTAACGATTCTGTGTATCACAAATCTACTGTGCACTGACAGGGTGCAGATGAAGGGGTTCCCAGTGCTGGGGCATTTCTGTCCAATTCTAACAGGGCCTTATCTTTGTTTATTGTGACTTTGATAAATTTGCAAGTAGTTAAAAAGAAAAAAAAATATAGAGTGCATCTTTTGTGAAATATTTCTAGTTGCTGGGGTTTAAGCGTATTTTTTACCTAGGATATGTTATGTGACGGTCAGCGACAAGGTACATTTAAATCAACCATGTTTTTATCCTCAATAAATAAAGTTTAATAAAAATAAAATTAATGCTGTGACATTTTATTTAAATAATATTAACAAAATATATAGTTTTTGAAAAAATGGTACTGCAAACCACAATATATGTTGTTGTTTGGTATTTTTTAAACTGGCAGTGATTTTTTTAAAATGAGAGTTTACATAACTTAAGATATTTGACTAATGCTTGAAAAAATAGGAGGAGGCTTGTAACGTGTGTCTTGTAACTTATGAAAGGGTTACTGCTTACTTAAAGATAACCTGGATCAGACAGTCCATAATGGTTCTGTTTGGCTTTCGCGTATTCCTGATATATCTTACCAAATGCTTATCACTAATTTGAGACAGTCGTGGAAAAAAAATGGTGTGAGGGAGGGAGAGTATAAAATATTTGTCCTTTTGTGTGTGTGTGTGTGTGTGTGTGTGTGTGTGTGTGTGTGTGTGTGTGAGTGAGAGAGAGAGAGAGAAAGAGGGATGGGAGGTGAATTATCTGACAGTTGGCACAGATTTAAATACCTGGTTTGTCAAAGGGAATGCAAAGACACCATGTTTTGCTGTTTAAATGAAGCAAATTATTCAGACTCGTCTAAATGCACTCTATCATGCTATACACATAAACAGAAAGATGAAAGAATGAAAGAGAAATGTTGATAAACAGTTCATCAAAGGAAAATTTAAGCCGTGGGTAAACTCATCTCCACTCTGTCCAAGCATGGAATTCCAATATTTTGGTTGTCACAGTGCTTGCAAACATGTTCTAAAGATATCTCAGAGAGAGAGAGGAAGAGAGAGAGAGAGAGAGCATGTTCAGTAAGAGAAAAGATTTTTTTATTCACAAATACTCCACTTATGTTGCGATAAGGTACATTGATAAATATCTCTGTTACAGAGATCTACTAACTACTGCACTAATCATTTTAAGCCTGGAGACAGCAATTTTTAGAGGGGGGTTCTTTTCCTGAAAAAGTGAACCTTTCACCCCCTTAGTTAACCCATTTTTGAGAATAGAATAGAAGATAGATGAAGTTTTGATTCAGAGTGCACCTTTTTGGAGGACAGTTCTATTGAAACTCCACTCCAGAACCCCCTGCCTATATAACCTGACTGGAAACAACATCTCCCCCAGTACAGTGTCTGGTCCTGGAATGTCACCAGAAATCTTCCATCTCATATGACCATGATAGCCAGGTAGCAGACAGACTGATAGTACAGCAGTAGTAAAGCTGTCATCCACCCTGACTGTCAGAGGTCACTAGGACTCCATCTGTTATAATTAGTAGTCTTAAGGCTATATCCAGTGCCCCCTGGAACGCGGGGTACTGTCAGCTGCACTGGAAGGCCCATTCAGATGTAGACAAGTGTGGCTAATTATCCAGCCCCATAGAGAGGTCCTGAGACGGTGGCTTGGTTTCCTCCCTTGACCACTGTCCACTTGAGAGTATGGATGGGTCACACTGGTCTAGGTGACTGATAAAAACTTGAATCCTTGATTTCTTAGATAGGGAAAAATTTGGAAAGTGAAGCTTTCAGATAGCATAAAGATTGAGTTAATAGATCAAAAATATGTATGGCATCCTGAAAAGTTTTAAAGTTTTAGGAAACTACATTTTAAAGTCAGCTACTAATATTTCCATTTGTGATATGATAAAAACTTTAATATGGATTTCTTTTGGATCTATAGTGTAAGATTGTGATATTCTTCATCTCATGTTATTTTACATGAAAGTTATCAAGTTTGGAGGCTGTGCTTACTATACTTTGGAAATCAACATCACTGGTGATATTTTGATTTATTACATAGATTCGTCAACCCATCATCTATTTTGTCAAAATGATGCTGCAATTTGAATGAGTTAAGGCATGTAGAAGATAAAAGTTAGAAAAGGAACGCTGACCCAAGCCGCCCTGTGTGTCGTCTTTAAGTCACCTGTACAAACTTAAAGCAGTCATGGTAAAATTGATGAATAATAATGATATAGAACTTTGCTTAACCCAGCGTTATGCCTTTCAGCTGTAAAATTCCTGTCTGATGGCTGTCAGGGTGAATCCATCTTATTGAAGCTTTGGACAATATGGCAGACGTCAGGGGGTGAAATGGATGTAAAGGCAGTGACCACAATCTTGTTAACTTTGAGTGTGAAGTAATATTTAATGTTGGAGAGATATTGAAATTTATGATATATTATTAGGAAGTTAGCATAGTGTTTTACTCTTGAGTTTTCTGCATAAATATAAGTTGGTTTGCAGAAAAAAGAGCTTATTAGAAAATAAATATTGTAATTTTTTTAATGAATTAGAGTGGAACATTGTCTTAGGATGAAAAATGATAATAGTGTCAATCTTTGACTCCGAAATATCAGGCTATATCTGGCAAACATAGACTTGTTCATTTAAAAGAGATACAGTTTTTTGCTAAAAGTCACAGTTTTCACGCATTTCACTCCTGTATTATTTCTTTAAAGGAAATAATTTTTTTTTTGTGAAGTCTGTATAAGATCCTAATGAACCCTCAAGTAGGAACCCTGACAAAGTGTATGGAAGATTCTACCAGTTAGGCAGTCTTGGTGTGTGTGAATGAGTCATAGTGAGTTGATAGGGATACCGTAAACCACAGGTGACAGGTTTAGTTACAAAATGATTATCTTTGTTGGATTGGTGATATGTGGTCCACTTTGTAAATATATTAATAATAGAAGTGACGTTACTGTGTGACAGAGGATTCAACATTTTGGCTTGAGGGTTTTCATTATCTTTCTCAGGTGCAATGATGTCATATACAAAATAATAAAGAGATTGAAGGAATTAAGATGTAGGATCTGCCCTGAATAGTGCCTAAGGGAAATAATGAATTTAAAAACTATGTGTATGCATGACACGTCCATGTGAGATAAAAAGTGGGATAGTGCCTGGTTATGATAATAAGATGATAAATATGTGCTCATTATTCATTTGGGTACAGAATGTTTTGTAAATGATATTCTCTTTTGAAAGTCAAAAGCAATTTGGCTGGAAGGGATTTGTGCTAATATTCATTGTTGTGTTTATGGGCTTTGAGCTGAAATAGGTGATGTGTATGTAGACATGACTGTATACCAACTACCAATAATGCATACGTACTTCAATAAATATGGCAAAAACACTTGAATGTTGTTCTCCTTAATATTACAGCACTGGTAAACGTGTAGAACATCTTAATATTACAGCACTGGTAAACGTGTAGAACATCTTAATATTACAGCACTGGTAAACGTGTAGAACATCTTTGTGAGTACAAGTCTAGACTGGGACCTTTGTCACCTTGGGAGTAATAAATGGGGAATAAAACCAAAATTAACCTTTCAAAATTAGCTGTCACATTCCATAAACCTAAAATACCATGAAAGAAAATTGAGGTCGGGAAATGTGCAGGGAAAATATTTAAATGGAGAATATAATTGAAAGTTTAATTCACTTCGGAAGAAATGA